GGGAAGAGCGTTGGGTTCGCCCAATGGTTGGGATCCTTCCTTGGGGGCAGCCGAGCTGTGGGGTCATCCCACCACCTTTGGGATCACCCAGTCCTTGGGATCAGCCAACTCCTGGGATCATCCAACTTTTGGGATCACCCAACCACCTCTGGGGTCATCCCACCACCTTTGGGATCACCCAACTCTTGGGATCACCCAACCACCTCTGGGGTCATCCCACCACCTTTGGGATCACCCAACTCTTGGGATCACCCAACCACCTCTGGGGTCATCCCACCACCTTTGGGATCATCCAACTCTTGGGATCAGCCAACTCCTAGGATCATCCAACTTCTGGGACCACCCAACCACCTTTGGGATCACCCAGCTCTTGGAATCAGCCAATTCCTGGGATCATCCAACTTCTGGGACCACCCAACCACCTCTGGGACTTTGGGATCACCCAACTCTTGGGTTCATCCAACTCTTGGGATCACCCAACTCCTAGGATCATCCAACTTCTGGGACCACCCAACCACCTTTGGGATCACCCAGCTCTTGGGATCAGCCAATTCCTAGGATCAGCCAACTTCTGGGACCACCCAACCAACCTCTGGGGTCATCCCACCACCTCTGGGATCACCCAACTCTTGGGTTCATCCAACCACCCTTGGGATCATCCAACCACCGACTCAACACTCGACATCGAACCCATGTCCCTCAACGGCTGCAAAATCCCTCCAGGAACAGCGACCCAAACGCAGGGAACGATCCCAAAATCCCACTCTCAAACCCTCCAGGAACCGCGACCCCAATGCAGGGAACGATCCCAAAATCCCCCTCGAGCCCCCCCAGAGCTGCAGGACTTGTTCTCCCAACCCTCTTCCAGCCACAATTCCAGCACCTCGGGGGCTTTTCGGTGCCCTGACCCGCCCGCGGTGGTCGGGGTTGATCCTTTCCCGAGCCCCGTATCCAAGTGGCTCCGGAATTGCGGAGCTCCTGACCTGTAGGAGACGTTGTCGGTGCAGGGGTGGTGGGCCCTGACGATGATGAAGACGTGCTGGAAGTGGGAGCGGATGTTCTGGGGGGTGAAGGGCAGCGCTCCGGGCTCTTGGAAGATGATGGTGACGATGTCGTTGCCGATGTGTCTCTTCCGGAGCAGCTGGGAAAGGGAAAAACCGCCCGGAATGGAGGGGTTGGAGCATCCAGCCCTCGGGATCACCCGGGCTCTGGGATCCTCCAGCTGCCTTTGGGATCATCCAACCCTTGGGATCGTCCAACTACCTTTGGGATCACCCAACCCCTGGAATCATCCAACTTTGGGATCACCTGACCACCTTTGGGATCATCCAACCCTTGGGATCGTCCAACTTCGGGATCACCTGACCACCTTTGAGATCATCCAACCACCTTTGGGGTCATCCAACCACCTTTGGGATCATCCAACCACCTTTGGGATCACCCAACTCTTGGGATCGTCCAACTTTGGGATCACCCGACCACCTTTGGGATCATCCAACCCTTGAGATCACTTAACCACCCCTGGGATCATCCAACCCTTGGGATCACCTGACCACCCTTGGGATCACTTGACCACCTTTGGGATCACCCGACCACCCCTGGGCTCATCCAACCCTTGGGATCACCTGACCATCCTTGGGCTCATCCAACCCTTGGGATCACCCAACCCTTGGGATCCCCCAACCACCTCTTTGGGCTCATCCAATCCTTGGGATCACCCAACCCTTGGGATCACCTGACCCCCTTTGGGCTCACCCGACCCCTGGGATCACCCAACCCTTGTTGGTTGGGATCCTCCCCCGCCGCGGGGAAGGGTCGGTGTTACCTGCTGTCGGTTGTTGGGGGTGTAGGGCAGCATGGTGGACACGTGGAACATGATCTCATAGTCCTGGTAGGTGGTGTAGAGCGAGTGGGTGCCCGTGGAGTCGGCTACGGAGGGCGGGAAAAGCCACTGAGGGGGATCCGGGGACACCGCGGGCCCCTCGGAGCCCCGGCGGATCCCCCGGGATGATCCCGGCACTCACTCTTGGTGTCCAACTGCGCCGCGTACTTGCTGAAGGATTTGAGGGAAACCTTCTCCCCCAGGAGCTCCAGGAACTCCTCGAGGGCCGGCCCGGCCTCCTCGTTGTTGTACATCTCCTCCTCCGAGCTCTGCCCGGCCTTGCAGTACAGAATTCCCACCTTGTGCCGCCGGCACAGCTGCGGGAAGAGCGGGAGTCAATCCCGGAGGAGCCCCTTCCTCACCCAGGAGTCCCCATCCCAAAAAAAATAAAGGCACCCCCACCCCCTGCTCGTCCAGCTTGAGGAGCTGCTCGGTGACTTTGGGGGTGCTGAGGGCCAGGCGCAGGCAGTGGATGTTGAGCTCGGGAATGACGTATTCCAGGGTGTCCCGCAGCGGGAGACCCCGAACGGTGCCGGGTTTGCTGGTGGTGGGAGTGGCGTCCTCCAGGATGGACCCGCGGAGAGTCACCAGCTGGGAACGGAACGGGGAACAGGGAAGGGAACAGGGAACAGGAAAGAAAACAGGGAAGGGAACGGGGAAGGGAACGGGGAAGGGAATGGGGAAGGGAATGGGGAAAGAAATGGGGAAAGAAACGGGGAAAGAAACGGGGAAGGGAACAGGGAAGGAAATGGGGAAGGGAACGGGGAAGGGAACGAGGAAGGGAACAGGGAAAGAAACAGGGAAAAAA